GACAGCTGAGATCTTGTTGAGTGCAAGAGAGCCCCTCAAATTGTTCACTGTTCCTGTTACCATGGTTACACCGATCAGTGGGAGAGTAATATGATGGGAGAGAATGAAACACTATTTGACGGGCAGCTTCTGCCTCTCTCTCGCTTTCAACAAGATCTCAGCAGCAATCTGCTTCAAAGGTCTAAATTTTGATTGCACAACATGCGCACCCTCTCCCTAAAAGTACCAGGATTTGTTATCTGTCAGGGGTCAATGGAGCTCTAACAAGCATTTTATTTTATCGCATCTGTCAAAGAGGAAACCCAGCCCACATTTACATGTATGCATGTAAGCAAGCAAAAACTATTCATCATATGTAAAATCACATTTGTATTGTCTGTGTATTACCAACAGTCCATCATTTCATTTTTTCTTGACTTTAGGAAATGTGCATGTAACTAAATAAAGGATGTCCACTGTGCTGTACCTCATGGAAGATGCATAATGCATGGGATAAATATGTGTTCTAACCACTGCATGCTTCATTATACCATGTATACCTAGTTACTCTCTATTGCATTTCTTTCTTCATTAACTCTACAGGCTGAGACTGAGCTTGCAGCTTTACGTGCACTTCATGAAAAGGTAGATTGCCAATAAACTAAATGTCTACCCACTTCTTTATTCTTTATTCTTGATTCATCCTTTTTTGTTCTCAGTCAAACATACTAGTACAGTAGTACGGAAATGGGGACTTGGGTTCGTCTTTTTGTTTGATGTCATTTTTAAGACTGATACTGATTTTGTTTGAAGATTTGTATACATATGTTTTTAAATTAAACATTTTTATGCTGCAGCCATTTTTGTTCAAAAAAATTCATTTCAATCAACTATTTCTTGAACCTGCTTAGGCCGATATCCATAAAATTCAAAGCAATTTGCTATACACTTTCACCATCTGAGTTACTGATGCACAACATTTGTGATTTGATTCAAAATGGCCGACTGGCTGCCATTTGGCCTTAGGTGTCTTTTACTCATTTTTCTGACTCATTCTTCGGTGCAAAGGAAAGATGAGGGTTCACATATGCAAGTTGTTATCCGTTTTGATTGAAAAGCAATACAGAAACTGTCATTGACATATCAGTAACTTCTATTGTGCACATCACAAAATTAAAGCTATTTATAATGTCTTACTCAATTCTGTGTCTGTGTGTGAGACTGAGTTAGAGAGAACCTGCAATCCAAATGGCATGAGAATTGATATTCACATACTCATATGCAAAATAATCCGTCTGTATGTGCAGTCGTGTATTTTGGACATGAATGAATGACCGATCTGATCCAAATAAAGATACAACAGTATTGGGTATATATGTCATTTCTCAGTAGTTCAGCTTTGTGAGAGAATAATTCATTTATAGAAACAAGTTTTAAGTCAATATTGGTGGTATGTTTTGATACTGTAGATAAATACAGAATTGTTTTGATTATAAACCCACGGTAGTAACATTTGTAAAATCTATCAGATTGGAAATTTGGTAAATAGAAACATTAACTCTTACTCTATCATTCATACTGCAGTATGTCAAGGATACTGATGGAAATCAAGATTCACTTCGAACGTTAGTTGAGGCTGCTGATAGAGAAAAAGTTGAACTCTCACAACAGTTAGAAGAAGAAAGACGGTAGGCATCTTCTCTTTCTTTCTTTCTTTCTTTTCTTCTTTTCTTTCTTCTTCTTTTAGGCCAGAATACCAATGTATGATGATATTGCTCTTCATTCATTTTCTACCACTGTGGTGCTGACAAGCTTGAATATTCAAGAAAATCATAGAAATTATTACCATGCTAATTATGCACATTGTCAGTAGAAATAAAACATTCATACACTGTATGCTAATGGACCTTAGATGGTAATGGCCTCTGACGTCTTGTTGAAAGCAAGAACCACAGAGATAGTTTTTATTGAATAATTTCATTCTGTCCCTCGAATAATTTCATTCTGTCCTGTCATCACATCCATTGTTCACCTGATCTATGTGTGTGTATGCATGCGTGTGTTCGTGTATGTGTGTGTGTTTGTGTACGCAGACTCTCTGAATATTATATGGTTAACTTTGCATATTCACTAAGTTTTGATTTAGCTCATTCAGCTATCAGCGAAATAAGCACAAATAAAACAAGCTAATAAGTAAGCCCTATACAGTAAGCTTGTTGGTATTGAAATGTGTTAAATAATATAATGATCTTAGATAATAATAATCTGGCTGTTCATTCCACAGGAAAGTTGAAGATCTTCAGTTCCGCCTTGAAGAGGCTGCTATTAGTAAAGATGACTTGAAGGTATGCAATAAATTAATATCTATTTTATTATATTATATTTACCGTACTCTACCTCATTAGTGCCCACTGTCCCCAACTCATCAAATCATGAATTTTTAAGGGTGGGCTTTTACCCGAGCACCCCTCTCAGAAAATATCAATATTTAATTGATTGTTAAATAATTGTTTATCAAAACAAATTGTGTGTCATTTTCATGCTGGACTAAGGGACGACGTCAAAAGATGAATGTCTGAAAAAAACGTATTTGCTTTAGTGGGGGTGGGGGTTGACCTCAAAAAGTTTCCATCCTACAAAAACGATTTTATTTTTTAATGAAGGCAAAAAAAATCTTGGAGTATTTGTAGTTTGTGTTTTATATCCAATCATAGACAAAAATAACAGAAAATGAAAAAAAACACATCCAAGACGAGAAAATGGTTCGATCAGAGTGTAAATATGTGCGTCAAATAAGGTCAATTTCAGGGCATGGACCTAGAGCATGCGCAGAACCCTGAAAAGTAGTTTGCGCATGCGTATATTCCGCTTCATTATTACAATCAACTTCTATGCCATACTACTGTCCGATTATCAATTTGTATTTAATGGTTAATGTAGTCTGACGCCATGATCAATATTTATCAATTAAGTTTCAATAGGGGGTTTTGGGAAAGACTAAAGGAATTAAGTTTTTTATCGGACATCCATCTTTTGACGTCGTCCCTAATCTGACACAATTAAAAACAAAAGTACATGATTACAAAACAATTTTACAAATTTTATTACAATATTGTGTACATACCATCAATACAGAGAAATCCTGTCATAAATTATGATGCAATACTGATGAAAAATAGGTTCACATGTCATTTGTTAGTATTTTTTTGCATGACAGACATTGTTTTGCTATTTGCAAGTGCAGTATAAATGTTTGATGACAAGGTTTCATGACTAGTCAGACAAATTTCGGCATTATGCAAGGGGTGGGCACTTTGCCAAATGTTACCCCAACTAGAGAAAGTTCAACAGCGCTATATCCCCACTGGATGCCATACTTGCAACTATGAAAATCTCTATCCTCCGTACTTAGGCAGGCAGGCACTAATGTTTTTACAGCAGTGTGGACCACCACTGCCGTCACCGCTAAATAGTCAAACCTTCATTTTTCCTGTTACTGCATGGATTACACTAACTATTATGCTTCACCTGGTTGATGTGCCAGTGATGTGAGTAAAACCTATTGATTTGAGTATGTTTGTCTTTGCAGGCTGCCAGTCAACAAGAATTACAGCGGATACACACATTGGAGGACAGATTGGTGGAAGAAAATCAAAGAGCTACAAAACTACAAATGGAAGTAGATGGTTTCAAAGTAAGTATCTACATCAAGTCACTAAATCTGATATTGTCAGCTAATTTGATATTGTCAGCTAATTTGATATTTTCAGCTAATTTGATATTGTCAGCTAATTTTACATCATTGGCTAATTACTTCCATCCACTTGTATAGTGCTGGTGGGGGATATAGTGGTCATCATCGTTCGTCAATATGTACTTATAGACAATCATAATTAAAGAAATTCAACACTTTGAAACTTGATGTGTGTGATAGTTGTCATGGACACAAGATGTAAATTGCATGTTCATTTACATATTTGCAAATGGTGAAAATTTATTCAAATATAAATTCAAAACATCTTGAAATTTGGATATGCATGTTAGTCACACTGCGCTGGTCAAGCAGGGGTCGAAATACTCTGGTGCACACTGCACTATGCACATAGATTATTAGCTAGTGCAAGTAAACTCAAAATATAATGTGCCGGCCGTGCATGTAGAAACAACATTTTCTCATTATATTCACTAAACCTAAATTAAGTTCAACCAACATTGTAAGACAACTAAAAAAAAAGCACATTCTTTCGTGATCGCATCAATCGATAACCTGTACATTTTATTTAAACTTTGAAAGTGGTGCATTTCACAACAAGTTCACTGTTAGTGCACGTAAATTTCAAATTCAACATGCACACTATGCATGCAGGAAAAAAATTATATTTCAATCCCTGTCAAGACAAGATGTGTAATTTGCATTCTGATTTGCATATTTGCATATATTAATACATTAGTAGAGAGTGATGAGAACTTGTACATAGTTCCTCAAATTTTAATTCAACATTTATCATTGATGATTATAACTGAAGAAATTCAACACTCATCATTTTGAAACTTAGTGCAGGGATTGCGTTAACCCCATATTTTGCTTCCCTGACTCCAATTATTGAAGTGGGACCCCGTTTTTCAGGCAAGCTGGGGTCCAATCTCTAATAAGGTTATCCAGGATAAAATTTCTATTTCTTAAAATTTTGTAAGTGGGACTCGTCTTGCCGAGACACAAACCCTGTTGGTGTATATGTGCAATAGTCAGTGTAATAAATTGATGACTGATTTACAAACCCCACCCTTACATCAACCCTCAATTGTCCTCGCCCCTACACCTTCTATTCCCCAGTTGAGATGTGCAATGCTGTTAACTATACAATGATTTTAAGGTATGAAATGATTAACAGGGTTGGCCAATGGCTTTGAGTTTGTCTTCAAAGAATATATCCAGTAAAAACATAAATCTTTTGTTTTTCCATGCAGAATGTTATGGAAAACAAAGATTTCAAGTTGACAGAGTTGGAAATGGAAGCGTTAACATATATCGAACAAATTGAAGATTTACAAAAAAAATTTAAAGCAGCTGAAGATAAAATTCTACTATTGGAATCATCAAAGTTAAAAGACAGTGAACTTGGAGAAGAAATCAAACAACATATAAACAAGATAAAAGAATTAGAATTACAAGTACTTAGTCTATCTAATGATAAAACTGAAGTGCAAACTACGTTATCTCAAGTGGTAAGTCTGCCTGTCTGTCTAATATTTTTTTACAGGAGTGACCGTTTCCCACCATTAGGAATAGAAGACCTTTTCACTGTGGGAAACTATTTTAGTATACCAACATCATAATTGAACATACTGATGGATTTAATTGAAAAGGAACAAGAATTATGAAGTTTTATATCTTTGGAAAAGCATTTTTTTTATGCATGTGTAAGCAGAGAAAGACAGGCTTTCTCCAGAAGCCTGACTGCACCTGAAAGGCCTCTCCCACAAAATAACCCCGAGGGCGCTATTATGACGAAAAGGTTCTACGGGAATATGAGAAATTGATTGTAAAATAAGTACATCCAGCAAACTGTAGCATTGGGGTAATTTATTAATGTATTTGCTCTATTTGATGTCTGAGTGCATACTTTGAGGTATCCTTGTAATAACCTCATTATTATACATCATGGGAATGCCGAAATCCAGAACAGAATCAGCAAACTTCTTTGTGTGGATTCCGGTCAAACTGGTGGCAGCAATGTTTGTCTTTATTATTAGGACGCCTACCTGCGTAATCATTCCATATTTGGAATTCGCATTTCCTAATATGGTAGGATGAAAATACCCCGTAAAATACCGCAAAATGACGCCACGCTGTAACTTATGGCGTTACGATGACAGATGTATAATAATAAATGTTACACCAAATGAACATATTGCCATATAATTGGTTAACAACACAACTGTGCATTGAAAAGAGTGATTTTTTTTTTTTTTTTAATTCGGGACATTTGAAGTTACTGCGAGAGGCACAGCTTTATAAATTTGGTCTCTGTTTGGTAATAAGGTGACACATAATACCAACTAAGTTTTTCGTCAAAAAAAACCCACACAGTTTGAATGTGTGATAAATTTGTTCTCATACGTGCGTTGGTAGATTTTATTCAGACTATTACTACGAAAAACTTGCATGAAATACTGATGCATGTTAGTTTCTTTTGTTAATTGGCTGACTGGTAGTCATATTGGTTTTACCATTTCTTTGTTTAATTACTGTTTAATTTTGTTTTTTACCAGAGAGAAGAGCTTCAAGATTCGGTGGCTGCCAGAAAGAAACTTGAATCCACTGTGGATGGTATGTCATAAAATAAGAGGTAGTAGTATCCATTCGCGTTGCTGGCCTGAATGAAGTAGGTCTTTGATGGCAGTTATCCAAGAAGGCCTTTGTTCTGACACCATAGAGAATGACCTTATTTTGCTGTACACATTTGTGTTAGCTCCCACTTCCGCACGTGAAGTTTTTAACTTTTGGAGCATTGCAGATTTGTTCAATTCATAATATCTATTTTTTCTGTGTCATATTTAAAAATTTTCTTTAAATTTCATAGTGGTGAACATTTCATTTTACTTGGGTCTGGCTAATGACTATCTATTCGCAACGTCCAATCCAAAAAATTTACTTTGTTGTTCTAGGTCTTCAAAGCAAGTTAAAAGGCAGTGAATCTACAATGGAGAATATGGATAAAGAGGTCCATAATCTGAAAAATTCACTTTCAGATCTGCAGCGACAGCTGAAATCAAGTGAAGAAAAGTGTGATCTGTTGAGTCAGGACAAAAGTAAACTGGTAAATATTTAGTTTATGAATAGTGAAAAAGTTGCCTTGTGTATTATTTGTATTATTTGAATATGCAACCCTTAATAAGCAGGACTGATATGTTAACTACTACATCAAGCACTCAACCTTACCGACAATAATTGTCTAATTTTGCTTTACAACTTACTTTTTTATAGGAATCTGAGATGTCTGAGATGATGAAACATTCAGGGGATAGCTCACAACAACTGACTATATTAAATGAACAGCTTAGAGCTAAAGATAGGCAAGTAAACACTGTCAGTTACTGAAGTGCTTCACACGACTGTGTTGTATCTACAGACTCCTTTTCCAGAAGTCGAAAATAGGCCATTTTGCATGTACACACATGCTGGATATGGGGTGTAAGATAAACATGCATGCATGATATTGTGCTTCTGAGTGTACTAATCAACATCACAAAAATAAAATTCCCTTCCATC